GATGGGCTATTTGAAGGCCTCAAAAGTTTTTGGAGTACCAAAAGGTACCTTAGAACGATATGTGAAATCAGACAAGACTCCAGAAGAACTTGTCGGGATATCAATTGGGCGCCGACCTATTCTTCCTTTGGAATTAGAAAATGAGTTGGTTGAGTATGCCCTAATTATGGAGCAACGTTATTTCGGACTAAGAGCGCGTGATATAAAACGACTGGCATTTCAACTTGCAATACGAAACTCAATAGCACATCCATTTAGCGGAGTCAAAAAAACAGCCGGAAAGAAATGGTTAAGGCTCTTTCTGAAAAGACATCCGGCGCTTTCAATGCGTACTCCTCAGGGAATGTCATGTGCACGAGTAAAATCTTTTACTCCTGAAAATGTATCCAAGTTCTTTGACCTGTATGAACCAGAATATCTTAAGCTTACTAACCCTGCACAACGTATATTCAATGTAGACGAAACGGGCCTTACAATTGTTCAGCACAAACATAGTAAAGTAATTTCCATGAGAGGGAAGAAGCAGGTTTCGTCACTTACTTCAGCAGAAAGGGGCAAGCTGATTACTGCTATTACATGTATGAATGCTGCAGGAGTTTTCGTACCACCATTATTAATCTTCCCCAGAAAAAATATGAAATCAGAGTTGATGCTAGGAGCTCCCATTGGAGCAATCGCAGAATGCCATGTGTCAGGTTGGGTACAGGCCGATATTTTCACTAGATGGCTTCAACACTTCATAAAATTCACTAAACCTTCAGCTGCAGACCCTGTTCTTCTCGTCCTTGATGGTCACTATTCTCATACGAGAAACGTTGCTCTAATAGATTTGGCCAAACAGAATCATGTGACGATTATTTGCCTCCCACCACATTCTACACATAAAATGCAACCGTTGGATGTTGCTTTTATGGCACCGCTGAAAACTTACTATGCACAAGCAATAGAAAACTGGCTTAGAGAAAATCAGTTGAGTGTTGTGTCGCCTTACGCCGTTGCCAGTATTTTTTGTAAAGCGTATAACAAAGCTGCGACGATGGAAATATCTTGCAATGGTTTCCGCAAAACTGGACTGGTCCCTATTTGTCGCCATATTTTTAGGGACTTTGAATTTGGAATTCAAGAGCACTTAGAAACACAAAACGAAAAGGATGAACAAATAATAGAAATAAACCATGAACAAGCAAATCATCCAATACAAGAACATAGAACTCCTAGTCCACCACTACCTCATCAACAACTTGTTTCTCCGAAAGACATCTGTCCAATTCCTAGATTCTACGAGAAAGATACAACTAAAAAACCACATGCCAGATCAGGAAAGGCTTCAATAATTACTTTAACACCCTACAAAGAAGAATTAGAGCAAAGTTTGCAGAAGAAAAAAGCAAAAAAACTAGTACCCCAGCTAAACTTGGATTGTGTATTTGCTCCAGAAAAAAACAGTTCAACAAAAGGTGTTAGATCAAAAAAAACAGCAATGCCCGAAGAAGAAATAGCAGATGAAGACGTAGATCAACCTTCTACATCAAAAGGCAAAACATCAAGAAGGAAGCGGAAAGTTTCTTCGAGTTCAAGCTCAGATAGCAGTGAAAACTTTCCATTAGCTGATTCATCGTCCAACGAAAGTGAAGAAAACGACGCGGAATGTTTATTTTGCACCGGCAAATTTTCCGACGATAGATATGGCGAACGATGGGCAAAGTGTTACCAATGTGGCAGGTGGGCACATGAAGACTGTGGAGAAATAAAGTCCAGCACATTTATTTGCCTTTTCTGCGAAGGAAAGGGCTTTTTTGAATAGTATCTCAAATTAAGGTACCTGTCTCAAGTTTAGATACCTGACTATCCCAAATTAGGGCACCTTTTATTTTTAATATTAAATGTCGCAAAAAAATTAAATGTATTTTTTTGCAAAAATATATGTTTTATTCGCTTTTTTTTTGTTTTGTTGTGTTCTAGAAACATTAAGTTTAAGTTTTCGAAATGAATGTTTTAAAAATTTTAAATATTCTGTTTTATATTTGTTTTTCAAAAAAAGTGTCTCAAATTTGGTGCCTTTCCTCTATGTTTCATTTAATTTTTATAAATGCATTATAAAGCATTTTTATGAAAAACATTTGTTCGGAACACACGGTAACTGTAATCGAACGAAGGTGAAATTTTGGCATAAATTGGTAACACTTTTGGTAACATTTGACAGTTGCGGTGTTGACACTTTTTGTACTTTATTATTTTGAATTTTAAAGTGAATACCTCTTGTTTTATATTTTTACCTATTTAATAAAATCTATTCTTTTTAGAACAAAATTAGTGTATTTTATTTCAAAAATGTCACGTAAGAATTTAAATAGTCGTTGTAAAGAGATGGTAATACTTTTGATTTGGTAATTATGTGATTTATTTGATTTAAAATGGAGTCAGGATTTTTTTATACTTTGGCAACTATGTCAACTCCGATCTCTAGGAACACGTGAAGCTCTTTTTTCACTTAATATACTGATATAAAGATGCCTGGATGTCAATCACGTCAATACGCATGTTTTATTGACTATAATAAAGCATTCGATAAAGTACGACATAAACAATTAATAAATCTCCTAAAATCAAAGAAGATTGACTACAACGACCTCAGGATCATATCAAATTTATACTATAAACAGCGAGCAAAATGACGTGTTAACGAACAGCTGTCGGAAAAAATTAAAATTAGATGTGGAGTGAGACAGGGATGCGTATTGTCGCTAATTCTTTTTAATGTCTACTTCGAAGAAGAGATCCTGAAAAATGCTCTTGAGGGTGAAACAGCTGGAATAAAGGTAAATGGAGTTCCCATTAACAACATTAGATATGTGGACGACACTGTGATCTTAGCCGAAAACATTGAAGATATTCAGAGACTGGTGACCAAAATAGCAGAGTATGGAAAAGAGTATGGTCTAACAACGAATGTCAAGAAGACAAAATTTATAAGAATATCGAAAACCTAAAGAAATAACGAGAATTTTTAATAAACGGAACCAACGTCGAATAAGTGGACAAATATGCATATCTGGGAACAATGATTAACTCCACAAATAATTACATTCAGGAAATCAAAATCAGAATAGAAAAGGCTAGAACAAATTTCAACAAAATGAAAAGAGTGCTATGTATTAGGGATTTAAAACTGGAACTAAGAGTTAGGTTGGCAAGTTGCTATGTTTTTTCGACTTTATTTTATGGAATGGAATCTTGAACTTTGAACGCAACATCAATGAAGAAACTAGAATCATTCAAGCTGGGGGTGTATACAAGAATGCTGAAACTATCGTGGGCAGAATACGCCACAAACAAAGAGGTTCTGAGAAGAATGAATAAAAAAATGGAAATATACAATTAAAACAAGAAAATTAGAATATCTTGAACATATTACACGAGGAGAGAAATACACCTGGCTCCAACTGATTATGCAGAGAAAGATCTAAGGAAAGAGAAACATAGGGAGGCATAGAATGTCATGGCTGCGCATCCTGAAAGAGTGGTACGGATGTACATCAAATGAACTTTTCAGAGCAGCCATCTCAAAAGTCCGAATAGCTATGATGATTGTCGACCTCCGCCGCGGAGATGGCACTTAAAGAAGAAGAATGTAATGGATGATCTGTTGGATATTGTTCTCCAGGCTATTCCTTTTAACTTTAGTTTTATTAAACAGTGTCTTGATGACATTATTAGGTACTGTCCTTCTGTCCACTAGATCTAGAAACCGAGCTCTTAGACATTTTCAATAGCTATGACCCACACATCCAGTTTACTCTTGAAAAAGAGGATCCCACCCAATATGTTTCTTTTCTTGACACAATGTTCACTAGAGAATTGGATAACATGAATAAAATTGATTGGTATAGAAAAAGTGTAACTCTGGGAGATACCTCAACTGCGATTCTTACCACAAGTGAAGTATGAAAGTTAATCTAGTGAAACAAATACCCACAAGAGTTTTTAAACTGGCTGACTCTGTTTTTAGAAAGAATAATCTCAACATCCTTTTAAAATTATTCCTAGATAATTCTTACCCGAATCCTTACTCAGGAAAATCATCTTCAACACATCTTCTGTTATACTTAACACACAAGAGATCACACACTCCCCAAAATACAGATGCTATGAAAGTTAGCTCTGATTCCTATTCACTGACTAACAATATTCCTAAAATCTCTAAAAAAAGTTTATTATTTTAAAAATTTAATTTTTAATTCTTTCGAAAGTTCGGTGATCCTAGAATATTGGCTTCGAATTTGGTGATCGATAAAAAATATAATACAAAACTCGAGTTTTTCCAATAGATGAAATGTCAAACTAGAATTATGCTGGTTTTTGTACGTCGATCTATTTCATAAAATTCTTCAAAAGTGACTTATTTGTTATGAAATATGTACAACAGGCAATAATATCATTTTATTTACGTCCTAGCCTTAAACAGGAGGAAAATTACTAGTATTTTTATAACTAGGTATAACACTGCTGTGAAATTATTGCTGGTGGCAATTTTCTTTACCTTATTTACGCTCTGAATGAGAATAACCCACAATATAAGAACACAATTGAGGAGCTAGAAACTATTTTTCTTTTTAATTTTTGGCCTAAAGTTCATAAGCTGATTTATAAATACCAAAAAGCAGCTTCCTATACTGCGGCTGACCGGCCAAAATATTTTTTTTTTAAATTGTTGTTTATTCCCAAACATAGAATTAAGAAATAATAAGAGTACTATATCTCTTTAACATTTTAATGTCTTACAAGAACGGATGACATCATGGTAGGTATATTTTTTTATAATACACTATTTTTAATATAAAACCTATAAAAAAATATTATAGAAAATTAATACTCCAAATCATAGCCAGCACCAATCATTATATTTTCTAGATAATTATAAAAATTAAACTACTACAAATCTATAATGTTTACCCTCTTATTCTCTTAGATATTATTTACTTAAATAATAATATAATATTTTATGGTTTGTAGCAAGCTCGACAAAAGTCTCCTGCAACACATTCACATTCTTCATAGGAATAGAAATTATTCGGTGTATCGTTGCATCCATCCCAAATTACTTCTTCACAACATTGCGACCAGTGATTCCAATGGTATCTAACGAGTCTTGCATAACAATCTATTCCACCAGGGTACTTAAATGGCAGGAAGCAATCTAAAAAAAATAGTAATTATGTATAATGGAAAAAATTATTATTTACTTATTGATTCTTAATCAGTTTATATTTATTTATATATAAATATTTATATAGCTTTTTTGCTCTTTTGACAGCACAACTGTCAAAAGAGCTTGCACATACCCTGGAGCAGATGTCCCTTCTGACCACGTACTATGAGTGGCCGTCATAAAGATCGCTCTTTCATGCAAGAACAAGCCTGAAACTCAACAACAGATAACACTGGATAAACTGAAAGACCCAGTGATACAAGCAGAAATAAGCAATGAAATAAACGCACAAATTCAAATATTGACGACAAACATTACCGAAGATCTAACACCAACATGGAATACGATTAGAAGTGCTGTAACAGATATCATGAAAAACAACTTAGGGTACAAACGACATAACAAGAGGCAAAAATGGATGACAGAAGAAATACTATTACTAATGGAAGAACGATGAAGACACAAGAATGACCAAGATGGCAGCAATACGTATGAAAGCATTGGCAAATAAAAGCAAAAATAAGAATAGCAAAAAATGAATGGCTTAAGCAACAATGTATCGATCCAGAACATTTACAACGACAGCACGACGACCGTAATTTACATAAAAAGCTTAAGGAGACTGCTGGAATATACAGAAAACGAAGACCAACTACCATAGTTAATCAGGATAACCAGATAGTGCTGGGTGAAAAGGAGAAAATTGGTATATGTAAAAATTATATATAGGAGCTCTTCCATGACGAAAAACCCATGAGTGAAGTTTATACAGACGACCAGCTGACTGGCCCTTCAATCACCAAAGAGGAGATAGAAAAAGCAATATTAAATTTAAAAAACAATAAGGCACCTGGACCAGATGAGATCCCGTCAGAAATACTTAAATTACTAGATGAAAGGGGAATTTCAGCACTATACAAAATATTTAATTTAATTTATGAAACTGGCTGCTATCCTCAACAGTGGTTACGCTCTACCTTTATTCCCCTGCCCAAGAAAGTCAATGCAAAAAGATGTGAGGATCACAAACTCATTAGCCTGATAAGTCACACTTTAAAGATATTCTTAAAAATACTACATCAAAGATTATACAAAAAATGTGAATGGGACATCAGTGATTCCCAGTTCGGGTTTAGGCAACGTTTAGTAATACGAGAAGCAATAGTAGCAACACAGGTGCTGGTCCAAAATTGTTACAATCAGAGGAAGGATGTGTTCCTATGCTTTTTAGATTACCAAAAAGCGTTTGATCGTGTCCAACACCACAAGTTAATGCAGATTCTCAAGAAAGTTGATATAGACCAAAAAGACATAAGATGCATTGAAAACTTGTACTGGCATCAAACGGCACAGTTAAAAATAGACAATTCTATATCCAAGCCCATACATATAAGAAGAGGCGTTCGACAGGGATCTGTGCCTTCCCCTCTTTTATTTAACATTTATTCGGAAGCCATATTTCAAGAGTCTTTGGAGGATGCAGAGATGGGAATCAAGGTGAATGGAGTATTGATCAACAACATACGATATGCTGATGATGGTGTCTAATTTGTGACAACATAGTCGATCTTCAACAACTTGTCACTATAATAAATATAATAATAAATATAAGACCAAATTCATGATCATCTCCAGAAACTTGGATGCACTTGAAAACTCCACCATAACACTGAATGCTAAATCCATTGAAAGAGTGAGTAAATTTAAATACCTGGGATTGTGGCTTTTTGAAGACTGGGCATCGGACAGGGAAGTAAAATGTCGCATTGAGCAAGCTCGACAAGCTTTCGTAAAATTCAAGAAGGTACTGACTTGTTCAGAGTTCGATCTTCAACTGTGACTAAGGTTTACTAAGTGCTACGTATGGTCAGTGCTGCTATATAGCGTAGAGGGCAGGACACCCAAAACGAGGGATATAAACAGATTAGAAGCTTTCGAAATGTGGCTTTATCGCCGTATCCTAAAAATAACATGGACAGCGAAAATCACAAACATAGATGTCCTTAAAAGAATAAACCAAGAACGCCAACTTTTCGAAACCATCAAGAAAAGGAAAACGGCGTATCTAGGTCACATCATGCGAAATGAAAAATACCAGTTCCTCCAACTTATAATCGAGGGTAAAATTGAAGGCAAGAGAGGAATGGGACGCAAGAAAATGTCCTGGCTCCGAAACATAAGGCAATGGACAGAGATTAACGACATACAATCTCTGATACATATTGCAAGAAATAGAGAATTAATGGAAAATGTGATCGCTTACATCCATTAGTGGATTTGCATCTGAAGAAGAAGAAGAAATATTTATATATAAATACAAGTATCGGAGTTCTAATGGGGTAGTGATGGGGCAATGACTACGCCAAGGCATTCGACCGTTGGGGTAGTAATGTGTCTCAAATAGCCTCTCCTACTCAAATGTTAACATCACCTTCAAGTTGGTGAACCAATTGTCATAAACGAAGCTCTGAAGACCGAGTATCAGTTGAACAAGTGGAATTGAAGAAATGTAATGCCATTAAGACTAAGTGGTGCCGGCTGATCTTTCCAGGGGGTGTTAAATAAACTGATAAGGTCGCTCTGCTTCACCTCAAAATCTAAAACAAATAATGGCCAAAAACGGAACAATATTAGATTTCGAATCGAGAGAACATTTTGAAAAACTGTTAGACGCTGAGCAAGAAAAAGCAAAGGAAACTAAAAACAACGTAATTGGCAGATCAAAGAAAAGCACAGAGAAAACAAAAGCTATACAGAAATAAGAACTAGAAGAAGCAATATGGAATATAAAGACTGGAAAAGCTCTTGGGAGAGATGAAGTTAGTTCAAAAATGTTGAAATACATAGTAAAAAAGCAAAAAAAATATCATTCCTCACCAAAGAAAAAAATCAAATTCAATAATTGTACCAGTGCACAAAAAGGGAAACACAAAAGAGTGTCAGAACTATAGAGGCATATCCTTATTATGTGTAGCAGCAAAATTATATAAAACAATTGAGTACAGAGATGATGTCTTGAGTCTCAGAAAAGGGACCTAACTCACAAGACCATACATTCACTATGTAAAAGGTAATAGAGTAAGTCTTAAAGAAAAATACATACATTTTATAGACACGAAAAAAACATGTGATTCAGTCGAAAGCAAAACTGTATGGGAGATAAACCTGACAAGTAAGCTAAAAACTGATATAGCAACTAAAAGTATATATAAAAACCTAAAATATAGAGATATACGTATTTGTAGATGGCCTAGTATTATCCAACGAAACAATAGGAAAACTGAGGCAGAATTTGGAAAATGGTCAGAAGTAAAAAAATACAACCTAAATGTAAATAAAAGGATGACGGAGATAATGAAAATAACAAGAAAAAAAACACGCATGATCTAATCGAAGTGGTGGTGTATCAACAAAAAATCAGGCAAACAGACAAATACAAATACCTGGGAACAGTAATAAATAACAAAAGAAGCATTAAGGATGATCTCAACAACACACTATTCCAGGTATCAAATAGAGGATTTCTTAACAACAAAACAAGATAACAAAATATGAAAGAATAGGCCAATCTTAATGTTTGGAGCAGAAAACTAGATCTTAAACAGAGGACACCAGAGAAGGATACATAAAACAGAAATGAAATACATCAGAAGAACGATAAGAGGAAGAAGAATAGACAGACTCAAAAATGAAGAAATAAGAAACAACATTAAAATTAAACCGTTAATTGACACGATAAAGAAGAAAAACATTACATTGTTCAGTCATATAACACGAATGATCAGTAACAGATAAATGAAAAGAGTGTGGAAGACAGGAAGAAATAAATAAAATAAAATAAAAATTGAAAGAGCGGCATAGCAGAGAGATTAAAAAATAAGGGGAAATCTTGGTAGAAAACAACACAAATGCCAAAGAACAGAAAAGAATGGGGAAAATTCATCAAAAGCTAGACTCACCTCTCTTGACACCTAATGGTAGAAGAGGAACGATTATGTGTGTATGTATGTTATATAAAAAGAACAGTATTCTTACCTTTTACATCAAAGCTATTTACTGCTTGAAACATTATTGCAACGACAATGAGGTATGATAGTACTTTATTCATTTTTGTCGTTTTGTATGTAATACTAACACACGACCAACCAAAATTAAATAATACCCAGTTTCATTCAGTTGTTGCAAATTTTATATAGCGCAACCAAACATTTTGTTAATAAATTTTTTTGCAAAACTAAGATAAATGAGTATTCACCGATAAAGAAAGAGTCTGAAATATATAGAAACTAGTAATTAATGATACGAACGTTGTTAATTGGTGGATTGGGAATCATTTCAAATGGTGTTTTACTTTATTATCAGAGCTATATTCTAAATTGTTCGTGTTTTAAAACTAATTTTTTATCTGTTGAAGCAGTAACTTATGTATAATAATAATTGTGGTTTTGTTTCATCTTCCTCTCCAACTGATTTCCCTATAACCTTCAGTGAACATGCTGAAGTTATTTCGTGTTCAGTGTTGTTCTTAGTAGGGAATATATTTCATACAAAGTATCTAATAAAAGGCTAAAAGTTATTTATCTTATTTCATATAACCTTGCACTTGTTACACCTCTCATCGAGCATTATTATACATCATCATCATGGTCACTTACATTTTAGCAAATGCGTTGTGGTTCATCATTGAGATTCAGGAGCTCAAATAGTTTAATTGATAACGTCTGTCATATATACATCCTGTGTATACTGTTTATGGAGAAGCTTTTTCGTTATATCTGCTCATCATTGTAGAGATCTGCCGCTTTGACGTTGACTCTAAGGCCTTCCTTGAACGACCAATGGCTCCATTTTATAATTGCTTTGGTGGATATAACTAAAGAACTTTACAATTCTAGAGTAAATAGTACTAGAGAGACTTTGATTGGGTTAAATTTCATCTAAAACCGCCCTCCATGGAATTCAAAGTAGTCGTCTCTATGCCCACATTTATCTTCTTCTTCTTTAAGTTCCATCTTCTATCGAAGGTTGGAAATCATCATGTCTATGCGGACTCTGTTGACTGCCGCTCTAAAAAGTTCTGCACTACTGCATTCAAACCATTCCCTTAAGTTCTTAAGCCAGGATATTCTTCGTCTTCCCACATTTCGCTTTCCTCGGATTTTGCCCTGCAAAATAAGTTGTAATAATGCGTATTTTTGCCCTCTCATCACATGTCCCAAGTACTCTAGTTTTCGTCTTTTAATAGTTAATATTATTTCCGCCTCATTTCCTATCCTTCTAGTTACTTCCATGTTTGACATTCTTTAAATCCATGATATTCGTAGGATTCTTCTGTAACACCAAAATTCAAAGGCGGCCAGCTTATTCAGATGAACTTGTTTGAGTGTCCCAGCTTCCAGACCATAAAGAAGAGTAGAGAATACGTAACATCGAAGCATTCTCAGGCGTAGTTCTAACCTTACATCCCGACAACAAAGAAACTTTTTAAGTTTAATAAATGATGTGCGTGCTATTTCAATACGTGTTTTAATTTCTTTGGTTTGGTCTACATCTGATGATATCCATGTTCCTAAATATTTATAGTTATTAACATTCTCAATTGCAGTATCTTCAATAGTCAATTGGATATTTGCATGTGCAGATTTAGTCATGATCATGCATTTAGTTTTCTTTAAATTTATCTTCAGTCCGTACTCATGACAGTGTTCATTAAGGCGTTGCAATAGGTTCTGTAAATCATTGTTGTTATCCGTAATTATTACTGTATCGTCTGCAAAACGTAAGTTATTCAAAACTTCTCCATTGATAGATATACCTTCTATTGAGTCTGAGAGCGCTTCTTGAAATACCGCTTCACTGTAGACATTGAAAAGTAGTGGGGACAGCACGCAACCCTGGCTGACTCCTCTCTGTATTTTGATATTTTCGGTGTACTGGCTGTCAACTCTTACCTTGGCAGTTTGATTCCAATATAAATTAGATATAATTTTCAGATCACGACTGTCAATATTTTTGCTTTTTAATATATCTACAAGCTTTTTATGTTGAACTTTACCAAATGCCTTTTCAAAGTCTACAAAACATAAGTACATATCCTGATTCATGTCCATGCATCTCTGAGCCAGCACATTCAAGCCGAACAAAGCATCTCTTGTACTCATACCATTTCTAAAGCAAATTTATCTATGCGTCGTATATCTGATTCCTTGACTCTCGATATCTCACATGCATAGTAAAATGTGAAAAAGACCAGAGTCGAAACGATTCTCTTTTTATTTGTGATAGTAATGTGATGATCATGCCATACACCGGTTAGTTTAGTAAATGCTATTCTTGTTAGAAGCTCCAAGCAATATCATAGGGGAGACTACCTCGCACCCCATAATAGTTCGTGTTTTAGAAAAGTGTTGTTATCGATCAATAACGATGATTTTAGCACTTTCTGTCTTGAGTTTTTTTAATGGGTTAGTTTTTTAATAGGTTAGAAGTGTAGTGTTATCTGCTAAACGCAAGTTAAATATCTTGACACCACGTAGGTTTACTCTCTGCCATCCAAAACTCTGCGCATTATGAAGTTCGCATAAATGTTAAATAATAAGGGAGATAAAATACATCCTTGGCGTACTCCCTTCTCCTAAGTGCATTCATCAGATAGACATCCACCGTGAGTCAAGTGTTTGGGTACACCCATTATCGTTAATATGTTTCATAGTTAGTCCCTCCAACAATATCAAAGACCTTTGTACAGTCAATAAAACATATAAATATCGGAATCTGATATTCTCTGGATTTTTTTTCTAGTACATCTGATCTTTACAAATCCAGCCTGTTCAGGTGGACTTTGCAAACTTATAAAGGTTTTTAGACGATTTTGCAGGATGTAGAGCATCACATTATTGGCGTGTGATATTACAGCATGTAGTCTATAATTGTTAAAATTATTTCTTGGACTTTCCTTATGTAAAGGTATAATTATGGTATTTCTCCAATCCTCATATCGGAAGATGCTTCAAGACATCAGCGGTGATTAAATCGTAGTTTATACATACTTTAACTTAAGTCTTTTAGAGCAAATTCAACCTCGGAAAAAAGTATATCAAATTCAGCTCCAAAGAGTGTGTTGTCGGTTTCTGTGAGGGGAGTGTGATGTATCTTTGTTGAAGGGGAGTGGTAAGTGGAGGCCTGACATTCAATTACATACGAAGTGTCAAAAATCTATAACCTTGTCCAAATCCGTCTATACATTGCCTTTAGCATCTAGGTTAGCCCAATATTTCTGCTTGAATATACGTGTAAGTAGCCTGACTTTATCAAAAAGTTCTTTGGTGTTATTTGATTCGGCATGTTGTTGAATCTCTTTGCAGATGTTCTTTATATGCTTGTTCTTGTCTCTTCTATATACATCTTGAATAGTGTGTCGTTTCAATTTCTATAAGTTGAAAACCTTTTACTAGAGTATGTTCAGTTAATTCTCTATATTGTTTTTTATCCTTTCGAATACGTCAATTGCTTGTGCTTAAAAGTTACCTTTTCTTAATAAATTATGTTTGTGATAGAGTATCTATAATTTCTTATGCACACGTGCTAAGTTCTCTCTTAATTTAGTCCACTAGAGAACGATCTTACCTAAACACTTAAAACTTTATTAGTTTTAACCATAAAAAAGCTAATAATAGTAAGATTTTCTCATGAAAACCATTACAATAAAACTGTATATTCTTTTTCAAAAATGAATTAGTTTAACTGACTTATAAAAGAACAAACAGTTCAAAAGATCCGTGTGTGTCAAAGGGAGATGGAGCGTGCTATGTTGGGCGTTTCACTACGAGACAAGATTCCAAATCGCCAGCTACGACAAAGAACAGGAGTGGCTGATGCAGTAGAAAGAGTAGCAACACTGAAATGGAACTGGGCAGGTCACGTGGCTCGAAACACAGATAATATATGGACAAAGCGGATACTGGAATGGAGACCAATATATGATGCCTACCGAAGTAGAGGTCGTCCACCAACAAATTGGACTGACGATCTCAAACGTTATCATAGGAATTGAATACAAGAGGCACAAGATCCAAATAGATTCAAAATTATGAGGGAGATCTATGTTCAGCACTGGATAAGCGAAGATTTAATGATGATAATGATAAAAGAACAAAAATCCAATATTATTCTTAGGTATCAGTTGTTAGTTGTAGATCAAGATGCTTTCAGGCGTTGTTTTTTATGTTATTTAAAGCTTTGTTTTGATCGATAACTCACATATTATGTGATGAGTTGATCCTCTGCTTTTTTAAATAATTTCAATATTAAGATATCTTTTTTTTCCATATTTATAGAGTCCGACTTTTAATTCACTTTGATGCTGCTACACACCCACCGACTTTTTTTAACCTGATTTCTGTCGAGAGGACAATACACTTACTACTAATATCTAGTTATTACCTGACGAGGTAGGAAGGAATTTTTGAGAGTATTAACCTTCGGCTCTTTTAAATACTACTGAAATCCACCTGTTTGGGTCGTATCAGATGTTCCCAACAAATGTCGTAGGACTGTGTGTAAGTGTAAAGTTTGTTGACTATGTTTTAGCGTTATTAAAATTTCCAAAGACCAGAGACAGATCTCTCTATCTCATCACTTCTTTTAACTCATGCATAGGTCTTTTATATATTCATGTAATTTAATCAATCCATTTTGTTGGGGATCTTTCTCTGGATGATCAGATGCAAAAGTTAATATTTTTCAGTTTTGAAGAACAGTGGAAGTTATGCCGATTAACATGTCCGTTTTTGTGAAAAGTTACTTTATCTCCTTCTTTTTCTTCACGTCCTATATCAGAGTTATCTGACGTTGGCGATCACCATTGTGAAGGCTTCTCGATCTTCTGCAATATGGAATAATTGTCCTGCATTTGGTATCTGAGTCCATTCACAAATGTTTTTTAACCCAGAAGCTTGTTTTCTTCCTACAACTCTACGACCCTCTATTTTGCCTTTAAGGATTAGTTGTAATATCTTATATCGACTTCCCCAGATAAGACATTTTTCGATGTTTAACAGTCTTTAGCAGTTCTCTCTCTTTGTTGACGCTCCTTAGTACTTTTTCATT